GACTGCATTCTTCTTCTTGTTTTATGAATAGCTAGAAAACACTGAAAGCCATATTTGCCTTCCCCTGTCTTCGATTCTGCTGACTGATAGTCTACCAATCATAAAACAACAAACACAGGTTTACCTTATGAAACACATTTTGAATGAAGCTGTATTCAGACATTCATGTTATCATTAATGATCAAACATAATGAATTGTAGCTCTAACAATTTGTTGAATTATATAGTTAAAATTCAGTTCAGCCATTTAATTTCTAAGAATTCGATCATGTCACAGAGTTTAGAGGAAAAGCATGGCTTACGTATTGGTGCTAATGAGCATAGCTGAACCGTTAGGAGCAGGGTCAGCAGGAGCAGAGAGGAAGCTTTGAACATGATGTCCTTCTTGTCACAGTCCCTTCATTAGAGTCAAATAATTTCCACTAACTCCCACACAGCAGTGTGACCGGTGCCCCCACTGAGAGGGAATATCCTGCAGGGGGGCAGTATACGTGTAGAGTGTCACTGTGGACACATGTCGTGAAGTGACACACCATATGGTAATTTGGGGAGGGTGCTTTGAGGATGGGTATGAGAGAGTTATGATCACATGGACCTCTTCTACAAGACTACACCAGCTGTTCTAATCCTGGATTAAAAGGTCAACATGTCTCTAAAAACACCTTAAAAAGGTCCTTAAGAAACAGATATATGAAGTTACACCATGTTATGGAACATAACCTTTTTTCAAAGATTTAAAAAATAGTTTGAATTTATATTAAAGGTCTCCTATTATGCTATTTTTAGACATATATTATGGGTCTCAGATATATAAAAAAATATAAAAAAACATGTATGTGATGTGTTTTGCTCAAAATACCAAACAGATCGTGCATTTTAGACATTCCTCATATCCCTCTGTTTTAGCCCTGTTAGAGAACTGCTGATTCGGGGTCCTTAGCTTGAAAGAAAAAAGAAAAAAAAGAGGAGGTGGAGCTAATGCCTGCTCAGAATTACACGGCAGATTCAGCTCAATGCTGCCGTGACTAAATGCCATCATGTTCCAAGCCACATCAAGGATTATTTCTGAAAGAGTATGGAGCTCAAATGCTTTTTCGCTTGGCGGTTTACCACAAGGTGAGTTCCTTTTTTTATTTCCTGCTTTTTTACACGTGTTCTCTCCAGTAGGCTACTGCATTAGCTGTGAGTGTTAGGATGCTTGCTAATGTAAACAAAGACCATATTACTTCCAAAACAGTCGGGCATTGTTTCTGATAGCAACTTTCTGATAGTTCCTAGGTCCACATTTCCGTTATTGCGTCATATCGGAAACCCCTGTTTTTAGAGATTTGGGTAGGAGGAAAAGAGAGAGGGTTTTATTTGCTTACGCTGCGTGAGTTCCCCGACACACCGGGGACACATATTTATAAAAGACATCAAAACGTGCATTTTGCACAACAGGTCCCTTTTTAGATATTTGCTCTGTGAATACTATATCACATGGCAGACAAAATGACCCACTCATAGTACATGAAGTATTATTTGGTACAGTTGGGATAAAGGACATACTACCTTTTAATTCTCACATCAACTGAAATGAAGCTCGTAATAAAGTTGTTGGCATCTCTACAGTAGTTGTACTCGGGATAATCTAGGAATGCTAATACATTTCTAGGTTTTCTAGCTGGTAGGCATGGTTTATCTATTATTATAGGATAATATGTGCTGCTTACCAACAGTTCAGCTTCAACCTGATGAGTATCATTGTTATAATGAAGACTGTACCTCACAAGTAGGACAACAGACAAGAACTAGAGAATGCAATTCCTGAAGAAATTGCTAGTGGGAATGCTTTATGCTGAAAAGCTGATGCTAAACTGCTATGCTGAAATGTAATGTGTAAGAAGAAAGTGAAGAATTTAGATTGAAATGATACATGAACACTGGGCGCTTGAATGTGTGATGAGAGAAGAAAAGAAAGTAAAAAGGCTTGGAAAAGCAGCAGAATATTTGAACTGCAAACTTTTTAACTAACTTGATGGGGAATGATCTGTCGCCATGCCAACGGCATTTGATGACATCCCATAATACGCTTCGATGTGTTGATGGCTGCATCGTTACCAAACATGTGAAGTTTTGGGCCGTTTGGAGCATTTTCACTGAAGTTATGAGAAAACCGTGTTTCATAGCGAGCATTGTGTTGCCATGGCAACGGGCATTTGAAGAAATCTCAAAACTGTCCCGTAGATGTCTTCACGGCTGGACTGTTAGCACACATGTGAAGTTTGAGCACTTTTTGAACATTTTTAATGTATCGTCTTTTATGGTGAGGGATGCGTTTCCATGGAAACGGCATATGATGACACCCCATAATTGACATAGAGCTGTTGAGGGCAGGACCGTCAGTTGGAGTTATGACATCATCGTGTTCCTTGACACAGGTGTTTATATTTGAGCCAACGACGTGTCCAGAGATCAAAGGTTTCCAGACTTGTATTTACATAACATAGAGGGGGAAGCTTCCCCATTATGTAGGATTTATATAAATAATTCAAATAAATGTGGCAAAGGCTCAAATGTGTTGAAAAACACATTTGTAACAGGTTTGTTAATTGACCAAAAAATATGAACAGTTGGAAGATTGAAAATGGGATTATTATTAGGATTATTTGTAGGTCATTGAAAAGTAGAATCATTTAGAAAGATGTGAACATTGAAGTTTCTATTTTAGAAAAGCTGACACTGACACACTGTAGTGTGCATTGCTGGTTTTAAAAGTGATTTATAAGAGTCATGTTTAGAGATGTGCAATACTTAAAACGTTTATAAAGATCCTCTGAGTGTGTGTCATTAGTTAGCTGATAAAATGTTAGGGATAAATACCTTAACATATTGACTACAAGAGCTTGAATCAAACAAGCAACCTTGTATTTGAAAGATTAACTCACATAGCAACAGTCACACCTGGTATATAAGTGGTGTGGCTGAGTACTTTAAAGGGTTCATGAATAGAGGGGACTTGAATGTGAAATAAGAACAAGAAAATAAAAGTCTAAATGCATGAAAAAGCAGCAGAATATTTGAACTGAAAACTTTAGAACTAAAAGCATACGTCACCAATAATGTCTCAAATATGTGGAACATGTTGAAGTCAGTATGAAGTCTCCATCAGACGGAAAATAATAGGCTGACAGTCTGTTAAACTCCAGTGACCAGTCATTAGTCTGCTGCTCTAATTATGTCAATTGGAGTTATGACATCATCGTGTTCCATGACACAGGTGTTTATATTTGAGCCAACGACGTGTCCAGAGATCAAAGGTTTCCATGGTGATCAGTGAGAGGAGAGCATTTTCATTGTTCTGAATGAGAGATAAACCTCTTACATGTAAACGTTTTGTTGAAGAACCGTAACAGATATCTGTGAAATTTCAAAGCGTGAAGCATGTCAAGGAACTTGAGCATCTGAAGTGTACGTTTTGTGTACTTTCGGGTTAATAATGTTGCCTTTTTGGCAGATTAACTAAAAGGTGTGCAGCTGCTGTGGTGGGGAAAGGTGAGGCTGAATTTACAATGGAGTTTAATGGAGACATGTTGAAAGTTGTTGTCACTTCATGCCCTCAAGAGGCATTTTGTTTAATTATTTTGCATAATTTTTTGTATCTTACACGAATAATGTCAGAAAAATGTGTGACATTTTAAAGTTGGAATAAGGTTTCTGAGTGAAAGTATGAACGAGCAGTTAGCAGTTGAAGAGGGAGCAGTTAGCAGTTGAAGTTGCTGAAGATTGTTGAAGTCTGAAGAGTTCTCCATTGACTTCCATGTTAAAAATGGGATGTATTATGGGATGTATCTCTGGAATTATGAAAGTTATGAATGATAAAAGTAATAGCCATTGATTCCCGACCGAGCTGAAGGCTTTGATGTTCCAACTGAGTTTCTGCGATGTTCAATGTGGGAGAAGAAGCAGCGCAAAATAACCCGGCGGAATAATAAAGAATTTCGTGCGTAGCATAACAGATATATGCTGTGTCAGCATTCCCACTAAATAAGCAGATATATGTTTGTAAGAAAAGCTCTCTACAGTTTCTCAAAAACATGGGTTACTTTAAGATTTTGATTGCCAAAAATTGGCAAAGAAATATTGACTTTAATCATAAGAAATGCCTGGAAATGCATGCATGTTTAAACACATTTACTAGTTTTTGCATCTTTATAAAGATGTATAAGCATGTCCTTTGGGCAATGTACAAATGCTCTTATACTGTAGCATAGGGAGTGATCTTTTATCTGTTCTGAGGCCATTTGTTTCCTTTCCTCAAATCTGCCAATGATGTGAGAGTGAAACATCTTCCTGCCATGTTCTACTGATGGCAGTCTTCAGGAACAAAGCTCAAACAGCACATTATTCCACAGTGAAGTTACCATATTTTATTTCTTTAAGTGCCATTCATGCATATTGGGGAAGGGGGTGGGGTGGGCGGTGGTATCGACAATTCTAATAACACTTGAGTTATTTTACAGCACTTAACAAATACAGAGAGTAGCTGTGTCATCTCATTGGACAACAAAAGTAATAAACCGTGCAATAAACAAAAATAGGAGAAAAAAATACAAGAAATGACGGAGACAAAATCAAACAAAACAGAAAAATAAAACACAAACCAAATATATATTATCAACACTGAAACACTGAATGTAGAACCATAGTACAGGTAAAAGGTAGTGTCACACAAAAAGCCAACGCATTTTCATCACATATATACAATATAGCTATATACATACTGTCACCCTCTGATTGGACAATAACAAAATACTCTATTCTTTTCGCTCCTGTCTTTCATGAATAAGACCCACCCCCAGCCTTGATACCCCACCCCCGAGACGAAAAAAGGGATGATTGAAAAGACATATATGTACAAGCACAACAACACACCAGCACTGAATAAAATAGGCCCCAATCAGCAGTACTTGTTGGCAGTTCTCTCCCATATCGTGATGAGGCTTTTTTATCTTTTAATCTTTTTTCCCAATAATTGTAATCTCTCTGGCAGGTACATGTCCAGCGGTTTTTAAAAACTTAAATTGTCTTTTGAAAAACAACTAAATCTCACACAAGCACACACACGCACACACATATAGACATAACATTGTGATTGTGATCCAGTCATTGTCTTCACCTTTTTCCCTTTTAGCCACATCCGTTCACTAAAATATTTTTGTTTTCCCAATGTGCTGCTGTGGTCAAACAGTAGCTTCTGTGCGTTTTCACGATCTTCACCTGGAGGAACTGAAACACACTTCACACCAACCAAGGACTCACAGGACGCTCTCTACTGTCCGTCCAAAGAGTCCTAAGGAAAACACGAATTGATGTTTTTTCACGGCTGTCTTCAGTGGCAAATCATAGCTCCTTTAGTCGAGTGGGGGCCACTCGACTAAAGGAGCTATGATTTGGGTCATTTAACGGACTGAAGTATTTTGTCTGAGCACTAATGAGGAAATTCTGGCAGTTGAACAAAACTCATAGTTGAGATCCACAGGCGGACATTTGATATACAAAGACAGACAAAACAGAGCAGAAAGTAGCAGGAGTGGACAGTCACTGTATGATTGGCAGGAAAATATAAAAATGAATGGCAGTATCATCAGTTGAAAGAAGAGAACTTGACTTCATCCGCACAGTGCAGCTGTGGACAGTTTAACAGAAGACCGACAATATAAAACTGGGCTGGTTCTAGTTTCAAATAACCTTCTGTGTTCAAATGTAAAAACATCTGGTTCTATAATATCCAATAAAACAACCGTGTGAGATTTGAACATGCCTTTTCTCACAATAACAAAGACATTGTGTAATATCATAGAAAAAGAATCCATGATTGTCATTCAAAATATGAAATAAAAACCTAAACGTTGTTGCTGGAGTCCCTAGCTGGGAAATTATCTTTATAGGAATAGTTAGACATTTTGGTAAATATGGAAAAACCGCACTGGTGTCTGTATTTAGAATATGAAGCTACAAACAGTAGACAGTTAGCTTAGCTTAGCTTAAAATCTGGAAACAAAGGGAACAGCCAGCCTGTCTCTGTCAGACAGGAATCTACCTCGAAAACTCAGTAATTAACATTTTACAACTCCAGGAAGTTACTGCAAGTGGACATTAAATAGTCCAACACATAACCTACTGTAAAACGTTTTTGTTTTGTCTTTTTCAAACAGATAATCACATGATAATACGTGTTAAGTAAATCGTTTTGGTGAGGTTGCAGGCATATTTCGCTACCTATAGAGTCACACTAGCTCATTTCCCAACGTTTCCAGTTCTAATGCTGACAGTCTGCTGGCTGTAGCTTCAAAAAACATCCCAGAATGTGAAACTAATCCTTTCAATAAGGTGTAGTAGATACAAAGCACCATCTTGTACATGTTTACCAGTATAGAATAGAGGAGGAAGAATCCTGTTTATTGTCAACTGTAGGGTCAGATAGCGTTGAGATCCAGAGGTGCTTTGCATCTTAGAAACGGATCAACAGAAAGTGTAAGTGTGCAAAGGGCTCGTTTTAACATAGTGTCTCTAAGGTTCAGCACCTGTCTGATTGAGGAGCCACTTGTTTCAGGACGCAGAGGACAGGTTTCCAGAACCGCGGATCTCCCTGTTCTGTGCTTTGGAAACCCTTCCCACAAAAAAGCATGTCTGAAATCTCTTCTTTAATCACTGTGTGCATCTGCTTTTGTGCTCGTAGATAGCATAGAGATGATTGCAGCAATCAATCATAGCCCTAGAATGACAATAAAACCAAAACACCCACACACACCATATGTTCAACCAACACACACGCACACACACACATTGTATGAGTCACATTTCTCATTATGTTATGATTGTATAATAGCAAATTCTGACGCTATCGAACCATCACAACAAAACACAGGGCAGTTGAAAGATTCGTATCTATGTCATTTGAATGTCAGGAGTGACAATGAACACGTGTAGCATCGAAATATCGCTTTGATGTGCGATAGGTGGATTTGGATTGCATTTATTAAAAAAGGAGAGTTCGGTAAATAATGTTTTTTTTGTTTTACCTTTTACAAATGGAAACACCATTTGATGCATATTCTATTGATCATTAATCAATCCAATAATGGCACGTTTAAGAAGCTTCACCACCCTTCATTAGTCTTTATACAAACACATTTTATTTGTCCACTAGCAATGTTTCAAATCGGCAAGGCTGAAAACCAGAACTCTAAAAATTGCATTCAGGCTCATTACTTTTCCTTGTTTCTCTCACTAGTTAAAACAATTATAACATGGTTCGTATACAATTTTACACAATTGTTTAAACTAATAGTTTGGCATTATAGAAATTATGTTTATATGCTTTCTTGGGTAGTTAGAAGATTAGCTCTAAACCAATCTCACGTCTGGAGGAACAGGACACAGAGAAGCAGCTAGCATGGCTCTGTCTAGCGCTAACGCAGAATCAGCCAACCAGAAACATTAAAGTTAAGAAATGACCACATTATATCTCCAGGGAGTCATCATAGCAACCATCTGAAATATAGTCCAGCACATCCCCCCCCCGTAAACGTCAAACCGTTCAGTTTTTGGAGATATAATGTGTTAGCTTCAGTCAGAGCCAGTTCAGCCGTTTAATCCTGAGAAGTGTATCTACCAAACAATCTTGTCATATTACTCCCCAAATGACTATATGTTTACTATGATACATAATAACATAATGATATATTGGCCATTGTTAGTTTTTTAACATTAAAGTGTCTGTGAAACTGTCGCCATGATACATGCTGAGCGGTGCAAACTGTTTGAAAACCAGCTTGTACTTATTAGCAGACATAAATGCTAATATCGAAGTATTTGTGATAAGCGGTTGATGTTAGCATTACCAATACGTCCAAATCTACTTTCATTGTCTCTGAACGATGGTGGCTTGTGTAATGATCAATAGAATAGTCACCTTAAAGTCAACTTTACCATAAAACGTGCATTTTGTTCACGCTAAAACAGTTTCTGATAGGTAAAGCAATTATTTTCCGACACGATGCACACAGAGACCCGACATGTTACTTTGGGTGGAGTGAATTAAAAAAGATATTTGACTTCCCTGCTTCACCTTCTCACTCATCATTCTCACGCGCCTTGAAGTGCTTGAACAAGTTCAAAAAAGAAAAAGCTGTTGTACTCTCATGGTCTGTTGCAGTGAGCCTTATCACGATGGTTGGCTTTGAAAACAGATCACCATACTTTCTGTGATCTCCCTCTCACCTCCTCTCTCGGTTTGTATAATATCAAGCCTGCTTAAACATTTAACACCCTGTTCAAAGTTATTGTAAACCTCACTTTTCCACCAACTCAGCCACAGTGGGGCCCACTTTCTCCCAAAAGTGACCATCACATTACTCACAGAGACGGCCTGTGTTTCTTAAAAACAAAAGAAACAAAACTAAATTGTTTTTAAAAAATAAAAGAGATAAACTCATCCAAGAGGCAGCGGAGGCCAATGTCAACACGAGAAGAATTACAAGCTGAACACGTCGCTCAAATCACATAACAGTTACGGAGCAGGGGGTCGGGGGGGAGAGGGGTTCGGACTTTGGAAGGCTGCTGGCGAGGGACGGGGGGAGGGCCGGCTGAGGAGCTGAGGAGCGAGTGGTTTGGACGTCAATATGTTCTACTCGTCTCTAGACAAGTACATAAGCAATCACTTTAACATGTCCAACTGAATATGATTGTCTTCAAAGTAACTTTTTCTAGGTATGTTTTGCTTTTCGTAGAAATGTCAGGGCTGTGAAGTCTGTCTGTCTCTTAAGCTTGTCAAACGTTCTTCTGCCTCCCACCCACAGCGGCCTCCTCCTCCTGCGGCCTCTCAGCTCAGCCTGGCTTCCTCTGGCCTCCAACTCCTCTCCTCGCTCCCTTTTGTTTTGCAGAAAGGAGATTTTAGGGGGCTAAACGATGGAGTCCCAATCAAAGTCGTCCTGGATGTCATCAGCTGGCATGCGATGCATCTGGAAGTTTCTGGTAGGTATCATGTGCTGCTGGTTCATCTGTGCATGGTGTCCTGCAGAGAGAGGGGGAGGGGAGAGTCAGATCGGCCCAGTTTATCAATAAAACAGTAAATCAAAGGCTAATAGCTAAATGTTTTTCTCTGTGGCGTCATGTCACCTGTCATTGTGGGTCCTGTGCCGCTCATAGGGGTCATGTGGGGATATCCTGGAGGACCCATCATGGACATGCTCTGTCTGGTGTCCATGTAGATATTTCCTGAAGATAGAATTCGAAATTTGATGTCAAGCAAAAAAACAAACTAGTTTCAGGGTGAGGCCCTGCAGCGTCATTTTACAGAAGGAACTCTGCATTAGCTCAGATTATAGCTACTACCCACACAAAAAACATCATGGTCTATACAAATATTTGGTATTGTTTGACACTTGAAATCAGCTGATATTATAATAACACCACTTCAAAATAGTAAGTGAACTTTGTAACTAATGTTTAGAATTTTCAAGTAATGTGTACCAAAGGAAAGTCTAATACAGCAGCTAAAGAACTGTGTTTCTCTCGGTGTAATCATTGTTGGGGTGAACTATAGACATATGCAGCTGTTGATGAGGCGACGCAAGCAGACCCTATTTGGTTTCAAGGGACCAAAAAGGTTGCAGATCGCTGGCATGAAGGGCGAGCAGAGCTCACTGTTTGCACAACGTCTCCAGACTGTTTGCACTTTCTGATATAAGGAAATGTAGGTTAGATACATTCTTAAGGCTCTTGGTTAACTTATACTGGCTTTTTCAGACTAGAGTTTAGTATGAAAATACCCTTGCAGATAAAGAATACCTCATAGTAATGAACAATTACAGCTATTATTACCAGAAAACAAAACCAGATAAAAGGTGCTTTCTCAACAAGATTATAATAAATCACATACAAAAACTTCCTCATATCAAAACAAAAACCACAGCCAACAACTACAGAGCACATTAATTAACAAGTTGGTAGGGTGAAGGAGTGTGTGTTGGAGTGTGTATTGGAGTGTGTGCTGGAGTGTGTGTTTGACCTGTGTTGAGGTGCTGGCTGGGTTTGTTGGGGTGCATGGAGCCGTGACAGACAGGAGGCTGCACTGCCCCCTGTGGCTGGATTACACCGGTGCGGGCAAAGAACTGGTTGATGGACGAGCAGAGGTCGGCGATCTGGGTGGGCTCCAGGGACCAATTGTTCAACTCCGCTTGTCTCATACTGTCTCTCAACCCTTCAGAGCATAAAACACACAATTATAGAGGGAACAATCAAAGTTAATACCAGATCTAGGGACAGTATCTGCTCTAAAATGCATTAGTGACAATGAAATGTGTGAAACTGCACCAGCCAACTGTCTCTAGAATATAAATATAGTAAATGAGAAACTAATTAACAAACACAAAGCAAAAACCTTGGTTGCAATATATATTCATTATGTCAGTAACCTTCAGTGGGTGATATTTAAAAAAACATCCTACCTTGCAATCCTAGACTGTAATTGGATAAACTGACCTGCTGAGCTCGGTGTTTTGGTAATTAAACTTGAAGGCAGTGTTATTTAATTGAAGAGCTCAGTTTAATTAAACTTGTAATCAACTCCACAGTGTCAACACTTGAGCACTCAATCAAAAGCCGGGGCAGAACTGTACTATCAGCTCTCGGCTTTTAATGTTTTCTTCCTTCTTTAATCTAGAAAAATCTTAATCTCCTACAATTCAATCAAATACATTACATGTCCATTGTGTGTTTAGTATTTGTAAATGCAGTAAGGTTTATTTGTTGTGTCCAAACCGCACCTTGGAAAGGTGAAAGGTCGACATCAGCCCAGTTATAGCTGCTAGCAATACGACAGCTTTCTTTCAGTGCATCCAGATTTGGGTACCAGTCAGACAGTAAACCTGCAACACACACAGCAAACTATCTGTAACATTTCAAGATACGAGACTTGGTGGAAACAAGTCATGTTGGTTCCAGCACCAAGTTTATTCCTGGGACAAATACAGATGTAGTCCTCATTACATCTTTTATGGACAACTGCACAGTAATTGCTGCTGTAATTGTTATTGACTGTGGGTTAGCTAATAATGCCAGATGATGCATTTTCATTGAAGTCACATTTTTACAGCTGTGCAGCCAGACGTAGCACCAAATGAATGAGAAGGTAGCACCAAATAAAACATTTTACCAGGCTTTAAAACATATGAGCTGTGTGCTGCGGCCACTAGGAGGCGCCAGTCGACTCTGAAAGAGCTGCTGGAGTCGCTGGATGCAGCATTGCTTTGTTCTCACAGCAGCACAGATAATAAATCAGATGATGATTTGCTGTCTACCACCTACAACAATGTCTAAATGCTTTATTACAAAAAATGTATACAAAACGAGCTCTAAACGTGTTGACGTGTGAGATGAACATGATGAGGAGCGAGTAGACGCAGATGCACGGAGGGTCTTACCTGGGTTGCAGGCCATCTGTTGCTGGGTAGGATGGGGCTGGAGGGAGAGGCTCGGGTGCTGCTGCCCGTGCTGCGGTGGGTGCTGGCTGTGCTGCGTGTGTTGGGAGGGGTGTGGCGTGTGTTGCTGTGGGTGCTGGCCGTGGGACGGGTGCTGCGATGGGTGCTGCCCGTGCTGGGGGTGCTGGGGGAGCTGACTGTGTTGGCTGTGCTGGGCGTGTTGGCTGTGTTGGGTGTGGGGGCCGCCGTGCTGCGGGAGGTGCTGTGCGTGGGGCGAGCCGTGGCCAGGGTGGGCCTGGGCAGGGTGGGACAGGGGCACCTGGCCACTGTTGGCGGAGTGGCTGTTGTTGGGTTGGTTGTTTGAGAGGCTGTTCTGAGTGCTAATGTTGCCGCCGGGGGAGTGCTGATAGGAGCAGGAGGTGTGGGTCTGCTGGGAGGAATCTGACTGTATGCCCATCAGACCTGGAGACAAAGCACAAAGGGCTGCTTAGTGTGCTGCTGCAAGAAGTCCATGACAGACAATTATGTACACTCACAACAATCCTGATAATGGATCCGTCTGCCATTAAATAGTGATGAAACGGTAACAAAGTGGTTCCTCACAGTCATATTGACCAACATTATCATAGTTATCAGTATAATCAGGGTATTGTACAATTTTGTTGAGGACATTTTAAAAAGAAGATGTGTACACATGGCAAGTCTAAACTCAGTTTGAATGAAAATGCACATTTAAAACAGTAATATCTACTTCACTTACTGTAATTGTACCCTTGTTTATCCTGAGAGGTAACCCTTGAATCCCTGTTTCAATGTTTCACTATTCATTAATATGGAATATTAATATTTCCAATAAATCAAAAACTTAGAAAAGGCTAAAAAAAGGCAATCCATTTTACAATTAAATAAAACAGAAACAAATTGTCACACTGAGGAAGCTGGAACAAATGAATAATTAACCTGAACATTCAAGTCAACTTATCAGTTAAAAATGCCATCACTTTCTAGTTCAAGCTACTCAATTGTGAGGATATGATGTTTCTTATCATTGTAAATGGAATATATTTGCAGAAATCACCTATAAATCATTGATAAATAAACTGACAAAATATTTTTGGTAAAAGCCTTCACCGGTGAATTGAGACGATTGATTCCAACACAAATGTCACTGAAAATGGTTTCAGACCAACGTGTTTTAGTATAACGAACTTGAGCACAAACACACGGAGAGCCACGGTTGTCACATGTAAAAACAGCGACTTAAATACATCTTTACATCTTACAATAATGGGATCTGGGTCTCCTGTGTTTAAGTAGTTCTACACTTGAGACACACCAGCTGCCATTTTGTTGCATCAGGGAATGACTCAGCATCAGCAGTGTCTCTGAGGTTCACCGTCGCTCTCCTCTCCAGATACACAGCTCGGGATTGCCTTTGACAAATTCACGGTGCCGCGGCACAAACATGACTGGGGCATGAACATCTGCACAAACAACTGCAATCATCTGAGTGGCAGGGAGTGGTCTTAAGAGGCCCTGTCCTTCACAGCTTTGGCACGGTAAACCTATTTCACTGGAGTGCTTTTAGAGCTGACTCTAGCCCTGAACCTCCACAATCGGCACGTAACACTCACTGCAGGGGTGACAAAGGTGCATCTCTTATCGGCAGAGAAAGCCCATTGTCCAACCAGGGAAATACAGAAAGCAATTAACGCGGCACCAGAATAATAATGCAAGCTCATTACCTATTATCAAAGCCAGTGAATTAGCTCACTGTCTACAGCGGCAGAGTGTGAAATCCTCTAGCTCGATTATTTACGCTTTTTAATTGCTAGAGCTTGTCTGACTAAGAGATTTCACTTTTATGCGCATAAAAAAAGGTAACAACTTTGAACTATTGAAACACAGATGATAGATTAAAGGAGAGGAACTCTTTGAAAACATTAGCATGAAATGCATTTGATTTGTGAAAGTAGGTTATGCACATAAAGCTCAGTATACTTTGTTCCTAACCCGCTTGTCAAGTGCTCTTTGTTTATCAGTCAATCAGATTACAAGCAAAAATGCATTTTGTTCAGCAGGGATTCACAAGCTTTTGGAAAGCTGTGCGCTATCCGCTAGTATATATTATATCATAACAAATTCCCTATCATTATGAAACATGAACCTCATATCCAACAGATTTCTGTGCAAACTCCTCCTCCCCTCTGATGAAACACAGCCTACATGAGAAGACATCTAAAACAAGACGCAGACAACTTTCAAGTAATTTGAAAAACATAAAGCAAGAAGGATAGAGTATCAATTCTGTATTAACCGTTAATGAAAGCAGTAACATCTGTTTACTAATGTAATGAAATATTTAAGACATGAACTCTCAGATTCTTATTTTGAATATGAAATTAGACCTTTTCCACATTACTCTGGCAGAAGAGCATGAAAATGCTCCGTGCAGATTTGCACTATAGGCTATCAGCCTGTTGAATACCTGCTCGTGTCTCTGTAAACCTAATTAGTGCCTAAAGACTCTCTATAGCCCTGGCTCTTAAGAACAAACCAACATTAGGAAAATCGTTGAGAGAATCATCCCGTTCCTTTATAAATAAGCTTAGGCTCTTTATTAGATTTCCACTCGATGGTCCTGGGAGGCCACTCACCTTGTTGGCTGAAGGACTGCTCAAAAACAGACTTGTAAAGGCTGCGGAAAGAGGCACTGAGATCTTCAAATTCGGAGAACAGGAGCTGCTTGTCCCTGTCTGGCATGTTGTACTGGGACTGGGGGGGCTGCTGCAGGCTCATGGCCTGGGACACGGGCTCTGGGTGAGTGGTCACCTGGAGAGATGAGGAGAGGAATAGAGCTTAAGATTTACAGAAGCAGATGCATATCTTTGAGGAACATAGGTAAAGTATAGAACACTATAATGAAGACTTGAGGTAAGATTTGACCTCATGGGCTGCCTTCATTTCAAGTTTATTCTTGCCTTTTCCTTCGATTCGTAAATCGAGGGTAAAACAAACAACTTTAAAATAATCTGTAGATTAATCCATAACGAAAATAATTGTAATTTTTTGATCAATTAATGTATTAATATTGTATCCATTCTTTTATTTGTATTATTATCATTATGATTATTATTGCATTTCAGATTTGTCAACTGTTATGGAATTAATTTATGTACCTAGATGTGTTTATTTTGTTATGTATGCTTTGTGAATAATTTCTTAAAAATGCAAATAAAAAAATAAAAATCTTAAAAAGATTTACAGAAGCAAACGGCTACAAGGAGAGCTATGTTTAATGTTTAATCTTGGATAGATTTCCGTGGAAGTACACTGGCCTCAGTTCCACAGGGACTACTGAGGCTAAGAGGAGCGCACTATAATGTTCAAACATACACATTAATAATATACATACTTTTCAAAAAGATACCCGCAATGCTCATATGGTTATGGAGCCGCAAAGAGAAAGTCTCTAGAATACTTAAAGCAAAGTTTGTGGTTTATTTAAATGTGTGAGCTAAATATGACGATGGCACTGTAATACTGTTGTTCCTGTTTGAGGAGGTGTCACTCACACAGCATGTAAAGAACAATCAGGCCGACCACAACAATATAGGTCAGTGCTTAACCACCTTGGCTCACACAGCATTAAGAGACCAACTCAAATGGACACAATCCCAATACTCTGGTGGCCAAGCGAAATGTATTCAAAACAAAATCAATAACAATACCGTGTACAAATAAGCAAGCATTTTATCCACGTCTCTGTGTGGGCAGTCAATGTTATGCACTGCCCCGAGATGTGAGGCGGCAAGCAGCGCTCCCCCCAGCAGCAAGTTTGTCTACGGGATTTATCGGAGCAAGAGGCATTGATGCAAAACCATGGCTGTTCTTACAAAGCAGGACCTGACAACTGCGGGGCTAGCATTACAAGAGAGGTCACGTCCAATATTTGATCACGCAACATCTTCCTCGTCCGAGATGCGGGCAGTCTGCTGAAGTGCACGGCTCGCAGTCTGGCTCGGGTAAGAGTGAAGAGGTGATAATAAAGCCAGAGTGTTTACTGTGAGCTGCTGAGAGAGAGAGAGAGAGAGAGAGAGAGAGAGAGAGAGAGAGAGAGAGAGAGAGAGAGAGAGAGAGAGAGAGAGAGCACATCCATCAGGCTGAGCCGATCGATGCCCAGCGCCTGGAGCAGGGAGCACTCTAGGATGCAAGAGGACCACACCAAAGAGGGGGCATCTCTGGTGGGAGGACATCAGAGGAAGCGCTTTTCTTTGTCTGGCTTCCAGGAGCGTGCACATTTTCTCTGTTTCCCTTAACCCCCTTCCTGATGTTGTACTCCAGCGCATGTCCACCTTGAACCTCGGTCTATTGCTGGCTACGGCTGCCTCCTCTGAAGAAAAACCTCTGGAGGATTTCGGATCAGAGGAAATAAGGGAAACAGTACACATTCTATGTCTGGCGGTGTTTCGTCTTTTATTCATTTAGTGACTGTTGCTCCTTTCCAGGCTTAAAAAATGTGGATAGCATGAGGATTTATCATCTGGCATCAATGTAGCTTTGTGCCAAACTTTAGCAGATTTATAGAAATATCTTCTTCCTACTATCCAACTAAGAGACATTTAGGAGCTGCGACATCGACAGGGAAAATGACCTTTAAGGAACAGCAAGGCAACAGAACGAATGCAAAATGTAGATTGATGAGCTGTGCAGAGCGGGCTTACCGGTGTATAGCTGTGCACGCTGCCCACACTGTTGAGATTGACGGAGGCCAGACTCTGATCCGACAGGCTGTTGTTAAGGCTGCTTCTTGGACTATCGCTCCCTTCCTGGTCTGTGTTGTACAACGCCACCTGAAACACATTCATGTACATCAGATTATTATCTTCGACACACACATAGGAACGATGTGACCATTTGTTATATTCACTCTGGCCAAAATAATTGTTAAGTTGAACACACACACACACACACACACACACACACACACACACACACACACACACACACACAACACACACACACACACACACACACACACACACACACACACACAACACACACACACACACACACACACACACACACACACACACACACACACACACACACACACACACACACACACACACACACACACACACACACACACACACACACACACACACACACACACACACACACACACACACACACACACACACACACACACACACACACACACACACACACACACACACACACAGTGATGGTAGCGCATGTCAGCATTCCTCTGAGTTAATTTTGGTCTATAGTTAAACAATATAATTTATTATGGAAATGTAAAGCCTGAGCGTGAGCGTGTGTGTGTGTGTGTGTGTGTGTGCTGCATGCAATGACATGTCATAATAGCAGAGTACTTGCTCTTCACTTTATTGAGAGTGTGTGTGGGAGACGCAGGGTGCTGCAGAGCTGAACACCCACCACAGCCACTAAGGGCTTCATGCTGAACGTGTGAATGGGTCTGGAGACAACCGAGACATTCCTATCACTAAAGGTCACACTACTGGCGATGTCGACCACATCTGCTCACCAAGCGCAATTCCATTTGGGACAACACTGACCTTTCAATGAGGCCGGGAAACTAGCAGGAGCACTTCAGGACGACAATCTTAATGATCGTCTAACAAGGTTTGGCCCTCCCACCCTTCCCAAATAAAGTGCGCCGTCAGACAATTATAACAGTAGTAAGAAGAACGATCCAGATAATGAATATAATGATACCCGCAGAGAGTAGTCCATGTGATGAGCTTTTTATTGTGAGAAAGGAATGGCGGTAATGCACTGATGGTGGTGCTGCAGTGGAAGAGGGGCCTGGCATTCGAACACTGGTGTGTGTGCGAGCGTTTGTGTGTGTCCGTCCATGACATGAGGGCAGCGTGGTGGTTCCTGCTCATCACTGTGTGTAGAACAGAGTGGGCTCTGTGCTCAGCACAATGAGACAGCAGTGGCAGCAGCCTTCAGGCAAGCAGATTGGCCGGGCCCCTGCCTCTCAGCGGCAGCAGTGGACTGAAGCCTCTTGTCTTTCTGCTGAGGTGCACAAGGAGGGAAGGAAGCTCTCACTGCCTCCTCTCCTCTGACTGATTGGCCCGCTCGCTAACATGCTGGTACAACTCCCGGACGTACACACGCAGGGTGAGAGGGTCCTATAATGTTAAGCTTTTAATATAAAGCTCCTGAGCTGCTACAATGAGATAGTAACGACTGCATTTAAAAGCAGAGCGCAAATTCTGAATCCAAACAACGCTGTATGAGGAAGAGGGGTCGGGCTGAGGGAGAGGAGAATGGGGGGGTAGTAAGAGAAGCTCATTAGGCAACTCTAGCCTTTCTCCACTCAGTGTGGGCTTGGCTCCAGCGTTCATTAGTGTGAAGGGGAACTCAATGAGCAGCTAAGACTGAAGGCTTAAGCACATCTACAAAATCAGCTCGACAATGCTAATCAAAAACAGCGCGCCACAGAAATATAAATGTTATGTGTAATGAAGTCATAAAACAGGCTTTTAGCTTCAAGTCTCTCACCGCAATCTTTTTTTACTCTACGCACCCATAAAGTGTGATGATTTCTAAACCTGGCTGCTCTGTGGTTTACGCAGACCCCAGAGTCCCCCGAGTGAAGACACAGATGAACACCCAGTCGCATCTCACCCACATACGGAGAAGCATGCACAAACACATGACACACATTTGTACAGCTACAGATGTACACTAAGGTACAGTAACACACACACACACAAAAACACTCAGACAGAGGCAGGCATGCTCATACAGGCAGGAGCGGCTCCGCGGTAAATACCGTGTACGCTGTGAGCTAGCAGGCAAGCGAGTCAGGATCTATTCTTAGCAGTAAATTAAGTAAAAAACCAGAGGAGTCTTTTACATGGGGGCCTAATCTGGAGCATGAGACATGGATTATGAAATCAAAGCAAGATTGGCCCAGGTGTCTCCAACAATGCCAGCTAGTGTTCAGCACAATCCCTGCATGCAGGATTGAACAGACAGGGAGAGGCAGAGGGAAGGGAAAGAGAGGGGGGGAGGGGGGGGAGCCAGACTATTCATCAGCAAACACACTTCCAACAATCCCCTCTCTACATCCATCATCACACCTCAGTGCCAGAGTTTCATCATATTCACGCCAGTGTTTAGGGCTGCCCCGGAATACAACCTTTGGGGGTTGGGGGAGTAAAATCTTAGTCTATATGAGAAAGGCACACGAAGAAGAGGGAAGGAGGGGGGGGGGCAATTGTGAGGAATGTCCGACAGACGAGAAAGAAAGAGATTCCTGCTGGTTCAGAACTCGTCCTGCCAGCGTCTCCCATTGGTCTATCTGAGAAGGCGGGAATGAGGGAGAGAGACTGGAATAGAAGGGGAGAGAAAACCAGAAAGGGAATTCCTGTGGCTTGGCACACTGCACAGAAAGAGGCGTGGCCTGTCGTGTGTTTACAGTGTAAAACAGTGAGAAACAAGCTCCCTCCGAGGAGTTAAGGCCTCAGATCTGTTGCTCTTCCACTTTGTCTTCTGTTCATTTCACCATTGTTAAAGTTTGTGTCACTATCAAGTGAACAAAAAGACACAACGCTTCTTTTATCATCTCTAGGAATCCCACGGAAGTCATGATCTATGCAATTTAAATGTTTTCTGCTGGTTGCACCTATGAGTTATTTGACTGGAGGTATTTGATGGCAGGAGTCCAAACTTTAATCTGTCAGCTCTGTATGTTAGGGCCTCATTATGCACTCATGCTGGTGGTGGAGAGACTGGTGCTTGTAGCAAGTGATTGTTTGTAGCAATCACAGAGGAAAAGGCCCATGAATCTTTCTGCGACAGAAACATGAACAACGGCATGTTCTCTGTAGAAACAGCCTCGAGCTAATCGTCACTGACACGCTCGTCAAAACAAGTGGAAACCCCCGGTAACATACTCTACATATATGTACACGCAAGTTATAACACACACCGACATATGCTCAGACTTTGGAGCCCCTGTCAAACAGACACACACTAACTCCTCTTCCCGGTGAACACTCCTGTTCACATTAAATCGTTTTTTGTAATGCTGGCAGCAAATGAATAAGCGACTCTTGTAGGCTTTTTAAAAGTACACCTGAGAGCTGCCCCCACTGGGCCCAGAGGATGGGAGCTTAAGGTTAAAAAGCCTATTTAAATGTCAGAGTGAGCGGCACACTCACAGCTAACAGTCCCCGTGGCTTTGCTCTGTGATGTACAAGTGGTTCCAAGCTTTTAAATATATGAATACAAAAAAAAGAGAGCAGAAGGAGCCAGCAGCAGGGACGGTCACCTGTGGTGTAACAGCGCAACGTGGTCACAGAATGAGAAACACGACTCTGGGCGTTAACCTCCACTACAGGTGAGAGCGCAGGAACCCCATGCAGCGTGCGGTGTATCCTATTGCAAGTCTTCACGGGACTGCGTGAGGTCTATCAGGTTGCAAAGAGCTAAGTATCAGTGTGAGCATCATATTTCCGTGTTGAAGATAACAAGAGCCTGCTGCCTGTTGTTGTTGTTGTAGAGGAAAAAGGTGCTGCAGTGCAGATAGTTGTGTATTTTGGTGTGGGATGCTTTGCAGAGAAGCTTTAGGCATATGAGCATGTGCTTGTGTGTGTGTGTGTATTTCCCCTCCACTAGAGTGCTCCTCTCTCTGTGGGGAATAGTGCTGTAGGTGGTTGGAGAAGTGGGTGGGGTCAGGGTGCAGCCGTGTAGCCAGGTGTGTGTTGGAGCTGGAGGCTGGATGGCTGGCTGTAGTACCTTGTTAGTCACAGTGTTGATTGCCAGTGTTGGAGAGGCACTTCCAGAGATCATACACTCCATCCCCAAAGACTCCGACTCCAGGCTGTACGGCGTAGAAGCCTGTGGGGGTTGGGAGGCAGACAAAAAATATATAAATAAATAACAAAAATTCAACACGGTCTAATTATCAAACAATCCAAATCCAACTGCAGATGGAAAAAAAAAAAGACCTTGTATTGTGTTTGTGACAGATCTGCTGCTTGGACCAGATAAGGGCTGCACAGTGCGGAAAACGAGCGATAATAAGCAAAAACAGAACTACTTGAAAAGGGAATATAAAGATATTATAGATACATATTTAAGTGTACAAAGTTCTGGCATTCTGATGCTTTCGTTATAGTGCTTAAACATGACAAAATGCTTGTTGAAATATAAAGAAATATAGAATTTTGTTTGTTGACCAATTAACATGTCACTGAACACAAAAGGCACAACTGAAAACGAATGTCAGTTAGGTTTTAAAGTGCAGTTTTCCACAGACCCCCAAATATCTGTAGAAAACAAAAATCCCTAATATGTTAGTCTGTAACGATGGGTTTAATGTGCAGGTTGACATTGTGACGAGGATGAAAAAACGATATATTGTGCAACCCTAGACATGATACATGCCCCTCTGCACAAAACAAAAATATTTAGCAGAACTATTGAAACACTTTTATTTAGGTCACATTTGAACTGAGCCTTCTGAGACGATGGAGACAACCCCCCCATCCCAACCCTCACCTCCCACCGAAGCACAAATACAGAACAAACACATACATACACACACACACACACACACCCTCATGCATGTCCGTGTCTTGCTGTATAGGCGCACTGTAGCGAGAGATAACTCTGCCATGCCTGTCTCATAAAACTGCTTACTGTAAGAGGATTGGCTGCCAACAATACCATTCTTAATTCATGATAAACATAAATGAGATTTCACAAACTCTCAATTTCAATGTCTGAGACTCTTAATGGAGGCAGGCAGACAGTGTCTAGAGGGGGGGAAGGGTAAACGCAGCGCATGTGTCCTTACAGAAAACACACTCTTCACTTGGTGCGTTCTTTTGTGTCATGCTCAAATGAACAGAACTGCATCAGAAGGGCTTTAGTTGAAACTGTTGGCAGAGCTGCATATTAAAAACACCTTTTTCCTCTACCTTTGTTGTCTATTACATCTCACACAAGCAAAATAGGCGCAGTTTGTTGAATGAATGTGATAGTATTTTGCTGCTGTAGGGCCAATACATGAACAGCATGCTAAGTTTTATGTCGTCTACATGCTTGTGCGTGTCTTTTAGAGACAATGGCGTGTGTTAGGCGTGTGCGTGCATGAGTCTGCCTTGGCCAGCCTAACAGGACCCTCCCTCCCTCGTAGCCTCCGGTCAGCCACATTGTGGGGAAGGAGGAGACAAGAGCTCCCCGTGTTGGGATGCCCCAGGGCCAGGTCAATCTGAGCGGCGCACTAAAACCTGTACAGCTGTACGTAATGCTGGGCGAACCTCATCCATAATTAAAGACAAAAGCTCCCGCTCAGAATAGCCGGCGCGCACAGCTCTGCATTAATTGATGTTTGTTAAAAAAAGTGGGCGCAGAATGTAATGTATGTAATGGCTGCCTCGGGCATGGTTTATTAATAAGGACCCCACTTTATGACAGGCTAGCGAAGCAGCATGGAGAGGCAGTTACATAAAGTCTGGATATGAACTCCTACTGAGTCTGTGTGTGTGTTCACCCATGTGTGTGTGTGTGTCTGCATGTGGTAGAGAAAGAGTGGGAGAGAAAGGAGGGCAAAAGGAAGGAGGCACAGAGGCACAGATAAATACTGAGATGGAGGCAGAAGCGTAAGCAGAGGAGCAGCATATTAAGAGCTTCCTCAGGAATATGCCGTTTCTTTCATCAGACTCACCCGCTCTCCAGACCGCGGCCTCTTCTTTGGCCGTGTAGGCAAGGCGTCCTCCTTCGGGTTGGTGTCAATGGCCCAGTAAGAGCCCTGCGGACAGAACAAAAAGACCTGTGAGCTGATAAAACACAACATATTGCTGTTTCACATAGGGCTGTGCGATTATGGCAAAAATCATAATCACGATTATTTTGGTCAATAATTGATATCACGATTATTAAAAGCGATTATCCATTTACTTTGAAAACATCCATTTATTGAACAAAATAAATGTGAACAGTATGTTTTTAACAGTTGATTACCCTGAACTTTAAGTATAACTCAACTGAAAAACCAATACCTTTAAAAAAAAGATTAAAAAAAGAAATAAAATAAGAATCGTTGTTTTCATAATCGTTGCAAGCCAAAATCGTAAATGAGATTAAAATACCATTAATTGAGCAGCCCTAGTTTCACACGACATCCCTTCAGTGTTTGCACTGGACTTGGACATTTACTCTATGACACGAAATCACAGCACACGAGCGCCAGATGTTTGGTTCCAACATTATTTAGAAATAAGAGATCTAATCTGCTCTGCTAAAATCTATCAGCCCAAGCTGTTATTCAAGCATTATTATATATATTTGAGCTGTTTGCGTGGCGTGTGGGTGGGCTTTGTTAGTGAGAGAGGCTTGGCTTTTCCTCCTCTGCGGCTGCTTCTCAATGAGAGGCTGGTGAGGGCAGCTGGTGGTGGTGAAATGCTAAGCCTTTTCTGAAGCTGTACTTCCTCAGCCTCAGGTACTGAGTCAGAGTGCTGTTGCCAAGGATGAAGGCTCCACAGTCTCAGCTCAGGAATTGAGGCAGCGCTCGCCCTGCCGTGTTGCTTTCTTCTTCTCAGGTCTGAGCAAGGCTAATCAAGGAGAGAACAGTTGGGCTGGCTCTGGGGCTGCAGCTAGCAATTCAACAACCAGGCTGCATTATTTATCTTTTGCATTCCCATTTAATTGATTTTTCAATGCTTTTCTTCCTCGAAGCCAACAGGAACAATGCTCACAGTACAGATTTTCACCCTGAGGCCCTGCGAGTTGTGAATTTATTTTTAATATTTCATATGACTCCCCGATAAAAATCTCAATTGTCCAGAGAAAGTGAGTTCAGGACCTTTAAAATTACTTCTTTAGCAGAGAAAATTATTGTTATTTCCACGAGAAATTGTGCGAACAACAGGAGAGGCAATAGAAGCAGCTGTATCTCAAGTGTCTATACAGTAACTGCTGCATAACGGCCTACTCTTGTTCAAGCCAGAGAATATGTTCTTTTTTTACGGCTCGAATACACAACTACTGCAATTGTTAAAAAGGAAAGCCAGGGTTGGCCTACATTTGTCAGGGGGGTTAACATTATAAGTTTTATTATGTGCGAGGCTTTGGGGTCAATTAACATTTTCCTCAGAGGGGAGGAATAATTCACAGCACAATCAAGCAAAGATGAAGAAACATCTCGTATCGATGTAGGCTAAAGCAGAAAACCTCATTACCCACCCCGTGTTTTAACATGAAGCTTCACTGACAAACGTATGGCTAGGTTAGAAAAAGGCATATCTACATGTGCTTCATCTCCGTGTTAAGATGAAGGGGTTAAACGCAGGGGTACTGATGCAGATGTTTCAAAATTAGGAGTCAGAGAAACAAAGCCAGGCTTGGTGGCGTTTCTTTTAATTAGGGGGGGAAGAAAACATGAAGTTAACTCTCATGGGAGGGCAGTTTCTGCATTTCACTACACCCACCCCAAGAGAGTTGGCAGGAAAAAAAGAAAAACATATAAAGAGTCATTAAATTATTCACAAATATACTGCAAAATACTGAAGCATTGCCAAGTGAAGTGGAGTCTGGGGCACAGCCACATTCTCCTCTGCAGCCATATAAACAAAGGCTGCTGTAAAGACTTAAATAAAACTGATAACAGATGACCTATTCTCTTCCCGTAAATGACAACGCTCATTTTCATACATCTACATAAGTGTTGTCATGTAGTTCCCCTTTTGTGTGTAAATAAAGGAAGAACAAACACAACAGGTACACCGGTCCTGGAAAATCCAGACAAAGACAATTACAAAAATGATTATTAACGGTAGCCTTCACGGCATGAATTTCTACCTCCGAGGTGGTTTTGGGGGGTGTCGATGTACAATAACAACTGTCATCTCCTACACCATCTCCGAGTGAGAGGCAGACAGAGAATGGCATGACTCTCCTATCTCATCCAACCAGCAGTTCTCATATTCCTGCCACATTACAATATTGATGCAACATATCAAGAGCGGCTAGCGCCTCTTTGAAGTTGTCTTCGGGGGGGAAGGGAGTGAGGAAAATTCAAAATTAAACATTAAGGATGCGAGCATGTTGGCCATGCATTTGGAATGGGATCCATACAGCAATAGATTATTTTGTATTTAGTGGAGCAGCTCCCAGGAGTGTCAATATCAGAGGATTACAGCAAAACATGAAATTAGCATTCAGTCCCCATCCTCTACACAGCTAGGCGTAGCTCTTCATGCATGTGTCGGTGTGCATGTGCGTGTGTATGTGTAATTATTTGTGCAGTTCCCTAAGCATATGTAGCGTATGCTCTGACAGCGCCGGGATAAAATCTGGGTTAGGCTACATATGGTTAGACCTATGCATGCCGTCAAACTCAATATAGTCCTCAGTGGAGCACTTCTTATCAGGATGATGTCGCTGCAGATTGGGAGGCTGGAAAAGCAACTGAAGGTGCTCCTATTGAGACTCAAATGTCAAATTAACATGTTGGTCTTTACATTGTTTACGGAGAAAAAAAATGGGAGCAGAATGGAGAGATAATGAGGGCTGATTCTCTCCTAGAGTAGCTTCAGGTTCACCTTGAGATTCTGGAAATGACCTGACTTCCACCCTGTTACGGCCCCTTCTATTTTCCCTTCTCCATCACCCACATCTGCTGTCTGTGCTTGTCCAACCAACTAGTCTCCTTACATTTGAAATGCAGTTCTGTGGGGCGGGAGGTTCATAATAGATTACGAGCATGCCATGCATTTCCAGAGTGTCAGAGTCCTGGCAGCCATTCAAAGGTAACATTTTTCTGCCAGAGATAGGCTGATACACACCAAAGAAATGTTGTAACAGGGCTTTTTTGGCAGCTGAGAAACTAAACTAAACATATTAGTCTATGTATATATATTATTTTTATTAACTGCATGCATTCTTTTCAGATTCTCACCTTTCCGGGGTCATCTTTGGAGCGAGGCACTTTGAGAAAACACTTGTTCAATGACAGATTGTGCCGTATTGAGTTCTATGGGGAAACAGACAGAGAGAGAGACAAAGGTGAGGGGGGGTCAGTGTACACATATCAAAAACAAGATAACCCAAACAAGTCTGCAGGACGTGAGAACATCACCACCAGCAGTAACAAGGGCACACAACTCGTTGGCATGTATCTTTAAAGTTTAGTCACAGCTCCTGTCATCGAGGTCAGCTCGTCTCAGTGACGTGAGATCTGGCCTGCCACTGTGTCCAGATTTCACTCCACAAACACATGCAGGAGCCCAGTGTGTGTACCAAGCCAACAGGAAGCAGTATCTTTCATCAATGTCCAACAAACTGCAGACTGGTTGCACAACATATCGAATTCCTCCGGTGCCAAAAATAGGTGCCAGAAGGAATCCCACACTGGGATGGTTGCTGATACTTGGGCCTGATATTAATTAATGCTTCAGCGAGCTCCTGGGGGGGCAGGAAATAAATTATGTAGATCATTCTGAAAGTTAACTCATTACAGTGTTACAAGCTACTCCACGCCGGTGAAGAGAGGTTCATCCAGCTGCCTGATTGGGGAGGGGGAGGGCTGGAGTAGCCACAAGGGCTGGAGAGCGACGCTCCGGGCCCCCGGGTTAACCAGCTACAGCGGGGCCCTCAGAAGCAGCTGGAGGCAGGTCAGCCGCCGGCGAACAAGAACCAATGGATGCACACGTTTGTCTACTCCACTTTATGAAGTGGTATTGACAGATGGCCACACTAAAGAGCTGTAGATCCTCTGATGAGTTTAACCGATGCACACGTACAGTAGAGAGAGGCAGAGAGAGAGACCGGGAGAAAGGGAGAGAGAGAGAGTAAGAGAGACATAAAGAGAGAACATAGAGAGAGGCAGAGAGAGAGAGACAGGGAGAAATAAAGAGAGAGACAGAGAGAGAGTGAGAGAGAGTAAGAGAGACATAAAGAGAGAACATAGAGAGAGGCAGAGAGAGAGAGACAGGGAGAAATAAAGAGAGAGACAGAGAGAGAGTGAGAGAGAGTAAGAGAGACATAAAGAGAGAACATAGAGAGAGGCAGAGAGAGAGAGACAGGGAGAAATAAAGAGAGAGACAGAGAGAGAGAAAGAGAGAGAGTGAGAGAGAGTAAGAGAGAACACAGAGAGAGAGAGACAGGGAGAAATAAAGAGAGAGACAGAGAGAGAGAAAGAGAGAGAGTGAGAGAGAGTAAGAGAGACATAAAGAGAGAACACAGAGAGAGAGAGAGACAGGGAGAAATAAAGAGGGAAAAGAAAGAGAGGCAGAGAGAGATAGAAAGAGAGACAGAAAGGGAGAGAGACAGGGAGACAGAAAGCGATAAAGAGAGAGAGAGAAACAGGGAGAAAGGGAGAAATAAAGAGAGAAAAGAGAGAGAGACAGAAAGAGAGAGACAGAGAGAGAGAAACAGAGAGAGAGACAGAAAGAGAGAGACAGAGAGAGAGAGACAGAAAGAGATAAAGAGAGAGGGAGGGAGAGACAGAAAGAGAGAGACAGAAAGAGAGAGACAGAAAGAGAGAGACAGGGAGAGACCCCCCAGGTGCAAAAGATGGGAGCTGCTTATTCAACAGTATGGGCAATTATCCCGCAGGAGGCATGATAATGAGAGCCTCGTTGTAATGCTGTCAATCTTTCTGGGTAAATCACTCTAAAGTGCCAATGCAATCCAGAATAAGTCTAACACTTTTTTCCCAACAGAAAAGGTAGCGGGGGAAACTGGAGCAATAGACAAAACAATTGTGTTGTTGTGCCAAAAGGAAATCTTTTCTGAAAGTGAAACTCGATACAGAATCCATCTTTTGAGTATCAAATAATCTTCCCTGCGGGCTTGAAAGAAGGCAGTTTGCTTCTTCACAATGAATTCATGTTACAATGGATCCCCAAAATGTGATCATGACATTAGCTATCTGTTGGCGCTCGCAGCCTGCAGGGCAGTGAGGAGGAAGGGTCCTTTAAACCGGCAGTCTGGCACACCCATTCACAAAAAAAGGAGCTAGATGCTAGCACTTACTTAATCCGTTGTCCCGTAAGAGCTTTCGACAGTGTTCACACATGTAGCGCACAACAGCAGATTACGCCTGTCAGTAACATTCTCACTTTATCGTCCTAAGCACTTGGACTGTAGCACTGGACATGATTTAAGTTGTGCGTTTAAAAAGGTTGCACTTAAAATAACTTTGCACTCATCAAAGAAGAATGTATTAGTTTGAGATCATTTATTTTTTGAATGATTAAATTGTTGGCGTGACACATGTCCAATGAAATTGCTCAAACCACATGACTCATAATTCACAAAACATTTGTGTCTATACCGCCAAATTCTAAATAACTTACACTAATTCAAGATAACCATAGCTGTTTCTGAAGGAGCTAAATGCTGCATTTTAAAAGCCGCCTTTCAAACTGCAGGGCTAAGTGTTTATTGCGATAAAGATTTGGGCTGAAGTATCACCTAAACACCTGAAGTGAGGGTGTTTGAACAATACAGACAAAGACAACAGCACAACAGACGGGGTATTAAGAGACACAGATTCTCACCAGATATTAAAGAAACAGGAATCACACGCCTACTACACAAAAGTTCATCAGGTTTCAAATAAAAGTCACACAAAGGAGATTCTCACATCCTTTCAACTTTCAAAATCAAGAAATCTTGTATATGTTTTCAATTACCTATTTGTGGATTTCTGTTATTACTTTCAAAAGAGAGTGAACATGCCAAGTTCCGTTACGTAACTATGCTACACACTAGTATGCATTTATGGACAGGTCTCAAACCACAATATATTCTCCTTGGATCTTCAAAACTACACACGGAAGAAATCAGACTGAACTCTATGTGGTCTGAATGAAATCCAGCCAACATGATAACCACTTTCCCTCCGAGTGTGCAACGCTGTGACGCTGAGGCATCATCACTGATCTGTAGGACCTGAGAAGAATCACAAAGACTTGAATTCAAACACAGTATTAGTGATGTGGTGGCTCTTAAACGTACCGATTGACCCCAAATGTGAGTGCACATAAACATGAAATATTTAGATTTGATATCGGCATCATGATATAAGACCAGATATTGTGTTCCATTTTGGAATTCGTAATATCACAATTATTTTTGGCTTTTCCTGCTTTTAAAGGATGCACTAAAGTAACTTGATGTACATTTCAAATGTGTATTATTCGGGTTTACCCACTTAGTCATTATATCCACTGATGATTTCTTTTGAACATGTAAACGTTTTATGAAAGCACAAACTGCCAAACGTACAATATCATCACAATGTCAATAGATGTTTTTTTTAATATATTGTCGTCATCGATTTTTTTCAATATTGCCAAGTACCACCAGATATCACTCAGCTGCTCTTCCTCTTCACAGGCAGTCTACCTCACACAGGCTGCAGTGTAAGCACCATTACACAGACGTTGTCCTTTTAGCCTCACTCTGTCCCTTGCCTTGTCACAGTTGGACTTTAGTTCAGATGAATAAAACAATGTGAACACAGAATGTGATCATGCATAGTGGATGGTGACTAACAGATATAAGGCTCTCAATTCAGCAAGCTCTGCTACTTTACAACCCTGAGACATGACAACAGGGGAGTGTCTGAGCGGGAGGGACTGTGATGCAAGCTGTACAATTCTTATACACACTTAAGTACTTCAAATCATTTTCCCATCACAGCCCCTGAGTGTGTGTGCCACTTGATGCCAGGCGGACAGCAGCAGCTGAACTCAGAGAGGTGGCTCTATCCATTAAGGTCCTTCTGCTGGGACTAAATCATTGATACAGTCAAGCAGCCGAGGCCTGCCGCTACATTAGAAGTTTACTTTTTAATGAACTCCGCCTGCCTGCTCTCCTCCTGACAGGCCGTGAAGCCACATATTGTGTCAGACCAACTCTCCCCACTGCTTTAGACACATATGTGGTGTGAAACTAACAGGCTGTGGGTCATTTGCAGGCGAAGACATAAACCAGAACAAAAGGAACTCGAAAATATTACAACAGCAGCAGGGGAAGAAAAGTAAACATGATGACGGAGACTATCAGGGCATTTAATAGATCGCAGTGCATTTGCTGAGTAGGAGGGAAAGGAGTACCAAGACTACGATAGGCTGATGAAAAATGAAGGCCAATTACCGTTGAGCATATAAACAATGAGAAGCAGCTCCTTAGATTTAAATCCTAAGGCTGTTTATGTACAAAGTATATCTGCTTAAAGACAGTAAAATGGGTATGAGCACTATGAGGGTAAAAGGGATGTGAGGTAGGCGGAAGAGGTCAGAGGATGTGCACAGTGATGCACAAAGTGAGTTAGACAGAGCCCACTGCAGGGGTCCGGCACAAGTGCTGCCCAGCATCTACCTGCAACCCCCATAGAGCGCCTCGTATCCAACCTCAGCACGGGCCTGTGTGTGTCTGTGGGATGCCTCCTACACACCTAAAGAAATGCGTACACACACACACTGGTACGTGTCTCCGAACAAATGGCGGTGATTTAACACACCAGGACAGCAGAGGAGGCGTAAGGCAGCTCCGCCTTCGCTGCCCCCCCCTGCTGAGGAGCGCTGCAGCTCAGCAGAAGGACCGCCAGGGGAAAGTAGGTCAGGCTGACCTCTGCGCTCGGCGTGTCAAACGCTCGGAGTGAGCTAAAGGGACAGGCCATGTCAGAGCCCCGCTCCTCACAGCTGGGGAGGAGGAGGCACCCTGTGCACACGGTCAGGGACCCAGGGGAGCGGACTCGGCATGCTGGGACAGACACACATATGCACACATACCGGTTATGACATAGGGATGAGCACCAGCAACCCAGGGAGAGGAGGAGCCCCACTGCGGTCCGACGTGAATTAATCAATGCCCCCGCAGCTTCCTGGCCTTCCCACATTCACACCAACTTCCTGAAACTTTTGAGCCTCAGGACAAAGATTTTAAAAAAGGAAAGAAAAAAAAGAATGTGTGCGGGGGCTTTGACGGACCGACACACAGCCCACTCTTACATTTCCCACA